TCTTAAAAGTGGCTTATAAAACCGTGTCAGCTTGATGTAATACACATGTATATTAGCATTAGTTTTTCATCATACAATCATAATTCCAAAATTTCTTCTAATAACCATAAATCAACATTGCTATTAAATATTAAAGTATTAATAGCTAAATTATTTAGTGACTGTGACTTGGTAATTTTATGTTCACGTTTTGAGCTAAAATGAAGAAATCTATGGTCACAGAGGTTGAATTGCAAGGTTCCCAGGAAATAATGTTTTAAACTTCCTTTGGGGCATGGGTTTCATTTTTAAGCCATAAAACAGTTCTGATGTTTAACTCATGTTCACCAATGCAGCCAAAAACAGATATAGATTATCTCCTCCAGAAAAACTCATTGTCTCTGTAAAGTGTTAGTTTAAAGGACCTATATTGGTACAGGACTGAGTGACTTGGTGTTGTTTGTCTCTCTCTTGGCCTTCCTCCAGGGCCCAGATAAAGGAAACGTTTCCAATGATTTCTACTTGTCCCCCACGTCGTCCACATTGCCATGTGGTGGGTGTCATACACAGACAAGACCCAGAAGAAACCTTTGGTGTCTTCAAACTGTGGTGTTTGATACATAGTTTGCCCTTGAGAAAGGTTTGTTAGAACTGGATCAAATTCGGATTTGCCCCCCTGAGTAGTCCAACTTTCCTGTCAGCTCTTCCCCACCTCAGTGACTCAAAAGGCTTCTTGCTGTGTCTTGTTGTCCCACCTTCTTGATCCATCAAGACCTGAGCTCTATGGCCATCTTTCTCACTCAGGTGCAAAGGCCTAATAATAGTCCTGCTTCTCATTTGCATAAGAAACAGCATCAAAGCTTTGACATCAAAGGATAAAATCTCTAATTGGGTTTCCTGGGGGCTTCAGAAAACCCACCAAATGCTATTTCAGATGACTTTATTTAAGAGGGTAGCTTTCTGACAAAAGTGGAGATTTCATTAGATGGAGCCTTGCTTACTTACCATCAGCACTATTTCCTGGCTGTGAAATTTTGGTCTTTCACACCTTGTTTTACTTAAATGTTTTTGTAACCATTATATTTGAAGACAAATAAATTTTTTAGATTCAAATTTAATTGAATCATCTAGGAACAGAGGAGTTAGATGTAAGCTTCATAAATCAATGAAAGAAGGGAAGAAGTTAGAATGTATCTTCCTTCCCTCCTCCAGGAGTTTGTGAGATAAAGAATTATTTTCTCATGGAGCACAAGAAGTTAAGCACAGTGTTTGGTTTCCTTGTGAAAAAGAAGATTTGAGATAAATAAATTGTTCTACAGTTAATAATGTTTATAATTCTTAATGAGATATTATCTGTAATAATAACTATTTCCCATGTGCCAGATAATATATTGTGTTCTATAAAATCATTCAATATTTAGAAAAATCATTTACAATTTACAGAAAGAAAGCCATATCTCAGAGAGGTTAAGGAACTTACTCAAAGACATACAGATAGCAAAAGTCCAGCAAGCAAATTAACCTAGGTATTTCTGAACTGAAATGACAAAGCATCATTGGAACACTGTGGATGTGCTACGTTTTAGTGGTAGAAAGACTAACATCCAGGGAAGTCAGGCTAAAACCTACCACAAATTCCTACCACAGTGCCTAGGAAAAGGTGGAATGGATTCATGTTCTCTTTCTCACCCTCCCTCTTGTCTTCTATCCATTGCTATTTGTCTACAAACACACTATCATATGGCTTGTTTGTCCACAGGTCAAAGGCCCCTTTCTCATTACTTTGGCAAAACTGGGCCTTCCACCTGGAGGCAGAAATCAGGTTTTCTTGTGGCCATTTAAAAATGTCTTTCGCAGATTAGAGATGCCTTTGAAATCCAACCTTAATTCAACTTAGTATTGACAGTGTATTTCTTGGCTCAAGTCTTTGTGTTAGGCACAGTATGGAAAAAAAAAAGTTAAAGCTATCAAGTCATTTAATTAATCCTTTATATTAAGCTTATTAGCAGATTCATCTTGAGATTCCTCTTAGTGGATTCAAAGCACCCCTACATTCTCATAGTTCTGAGAGGCTTGTTTTACTCAGAAAAGCCAAGCAACTTTATTTTAAAAGTAGGTGATATTAGGTAGGTTTTGTGTTGGGTTCTGTGCTTATGGCTCTACAGACTGATTGTACACACTTATAAGTTTTAAAATTCCAGGGTGTTTTCCGATTATGGGGTGCAGAGAGGGTTTTGCATTGATGATGGTGTTTCCATTTTTATCTTATTTTTTAGAAGGAATCCTGTTTGTTAGGTTAGAAGTCTTTCCCCTCTAAGTAATCACAGAGGACAGAAGAATTCTCCTCCAGGTAGTCACAATGAACAGCAGTTCATTTCCAATCTGCAGCCCAGAAATGCTTTCCAGAGGGAAGTTGGAGTGCAGATTTTCCCAGTCAGCAATCCAGCTTCTTAGTTCACCTGATTATTGGGCAACTTTGAGCCCTAAAATAAAAAAACAGGAAAAAGGGGGATCAGTGAATGTACCCTAGCAAACGGTGTCTTGCTTCCAGGCAGCTGTGGCTGGAAAAAGACTTTGCTTAATATTCAGTGTGCATATCCCGGGGGGTGGGGATGGTACATGTTTTAGAAATTTTTCTGTTTTTAATGATGCAGGCAGTCAGTTTTCCATTTCAACCACAGATACATGCAATATTCCAACTCCTGCAGAGAAACAACCAGCGTCTATTGTTTAAAAAATGTTTTAAGAAGAATTTGGATTGCTCTTTTCTCTTTTGAATCTGTGTGCCAAATGACAGGGACCAATATTCATCTTCTTTTCCTGTAAAATTCTGAAAGGCACATGAAAGAACCTAGAAATGCATTCCTTAAAGGGACTTGGGAAGTTGTTTTAAATAATTTATAACACACACACACACACACACACACACACACACACGTCGTGTGTGCATATCCCCACCCCCCCTTTTACTTGTGTAAAATCAGTAGCTACAATAAACTGAAATCCATTTCCCAGATGGAGACATTTCATAGGTGTTTCACCAAGGAGCCAAAATGCCAGAGCTGCACAAGCTGTCCCTCCAGGCCCCGACTCAAAGCGACTGCCCGGCGTCTAGTCAAGCGCGCTGGTCTTTAAAAGTCAAAGTTGCCTGTGTCATCAGTCGAGGTCTGCGCAGGTCTGAGCCACTGAGGGAAATAGGATCTGCTGTCGAGGCCAGTGCCCTAAAACTGCGGCCAGTGACGCCGGGTCTATTCCCTCCTCAACATGGCCCTTCATCGCTCGGACTTTCGATTTTAGGGAGAGCAGCTAGCTTCTCAAGCAGCCCCTCGGATGTCAACTGTTTCTCCTTGAAACGTTTTCCAAGTCCATCTTTCATAATCTGGATGGCGGGGAGCGATAGGACTCCAAGGACTTCTTCCAGCCACCACACCGCTAGTAGTGGCCTGAGTGGGCTGAACGTGGGCAGGTGGCTACCAAAGTCTACCGACGCTTCCCACCTCCCAGAGGGGCGGGCAGTTGGTTTCGGTCTTTGTCCGTTCACCCTTCCTCCTGGGCAGCGCAGGTCGGAGTCTGGCCGGCAGGTGGCGCGGTTGGTTCACAAAGAGCCGATTCCCGAGCTGGAAGGCCCCACCACCTCTCGGCAGTAGCACTCCCGCTGGGACCCAGACTCCAGAGGAAAACCCGGCCCTGTCCTGGGAGGAACCAGAGGAGAGGCGGACTGGGAGGAAGAAAGGGAGGCTTTTCACTGAGAATCAGGGTCCCCTTCACACCTCCGGGGGGGATGCTTTCAGTTTTATTGGGGTTTGGTCCCCGGATAACTGCCTGAGCTTCTGTCACCGGTAGACGCTCAGGTGGCTGCGCTCATGACCTAAGCATCCGGGGACAGACCACGGCCCAGAGGTGCCAGCACGCCCGGAGGGTTCCACAGCGATACCCGTGGAGCCGAGACCGGGGCAGCGGGGCGCGTTCTGTGCTTCTGGCCGCTCACCACCCTCTCCTGGGGCTGGGAGAACTGTCCTGATCAGCGCAGAGAAGCGGTCGAGCGCCCAGCAACCGCAGCAGTTCCGGGCCCCTTCCGAGTCTCCTTTGCGTCCTCGTACAGCTGCAAGTCCTGGCACTCGCGTGCCCTTTGCTCTGTTCCACTGCGTCCCGAAATTGCTAAATCGGGTTCCAGGGACTTCCCCCAGAAAACGCACATTGGTTCCCTGTAGCCAAGACCGTCTCCGGCTATCTGGCTGCCAGGAGAGACCTGTCCGGGTTCCCGGTGAGACGCTCGGTGTGAACGCTGGGACCCGGCCAGGGAGGATTTCCCTGATGCTAGAAGTCATCGGGTTAAGCCTCTGAGGCAGTGACTGGAGTCCTGCTAGGGGCTGGATTGGGGATGACTTGGTCCCCACTCTCTAGGTTGCTGGGAAAGTAGGGAAGAAAGGAGTAATCCAGGTACGAAACTCCCCAAAAAAGCATTTCAGATGCAGGAGCACCATAAAAAGACACAAAACAGGGCAAGAAAACAGAGGGTAGCGGAGGCGGCCTGCAGGAGGAAGTGTGCAGCCCCAGACGTGCAGGCGGGACGCGGAGCCGCTGATCCTCGGAAAGGAGCGGCAGCAAAAGGGCAGGTCAACTTTATACTTATTTTATTTCAGTAAGGGCCTTTTTCGACATCTCAGACGGTCCGTTGAGGTGAAAGAAGGTTGCCAACCTTTTCTCGGGTTCCCACAGTCAATTGAGTCTTTTGAATCTCCCTCCACCGTCTAGGGGCTCGACCCTGGTGTCTGAGCATCAGGCTGCTACGCTCCCGCGGGGGCGGGAACCCAGCGGAGCTGGCCGGTTCCAACCCCGGGAGACCGTACGCCCCGCGGAGACCGGAGGGGGCGGGGCCTCGGGGCGGGCTTGAGCTTAGGGGCGAGGCCGGGCCACCCAGTCTGCACCACCATTGGTCTCCGGCCTTGGACTGGCGTGCGCACGTCACGGGTAGGGCCCACCCTCTTGGCAATGTCTTCAGCCTGCTGCACTCCTAACTTAAGCATTTATTCCACTGGGATAGAAGCGGCAGGAGCAGCGTTGGCACCGGCGAACCATGGCTGGGATTTTCTATTTCGTCCTCTTTTCGTTTCTCTTTGGGATTTGCGACGCTGTCACCGGTTCCAGGGTATACCCGGCGAATGAAGGTAAGAACGAAGCAGCCTGTCTGGATCGGGGACAGACTGGGGACGATCCGCGGGTAAATGGTCTTCGGTAGCATAGGGCCGGTTGGTGTGGAGGGAGCCTAGAGTGAGCGGTGCGTCCCGACCCTGGAGAAGGGTTCTAGGTCGAAGAGATCCTCGAAAGGGTGATGGAAAAACGCCAAGAAGCCTGCCCCGAGGCCGTGACCCGTGCAGGCGGCGGGTCTGTCCAAGTTTGTAGTGAAAGGCCAAAGTTTATCAGCATCCTCTGGCAAGGAGGCTGGAGGCGCCCCGAGGGGATGCACTGGAGCCAATGCAGGATTTGAAAACAAAACAACAAAAAAATTATGCACCCCCGCCCCCATTACCATCCCTGGGCAAGGGGAAGACGCAAGCCTGGAATGCAGTGAGGGCTTAGTGCTCCCGGGTTCTTAAGAAAGCCTTCGGAGCTCTCTGGTTTCTGCAAAGTTTCCCAAGCCACGCGTTTTCCGGGACCCGGCAGCCGGGCCTTCGCAGGGCAGCGGTCGTGGCGCGGCTCGTCGGGCGCCTGTGACCTGATTTCTAGCAACAAGCATCAGACACCTTTCTTTTCGCCGAGCCCCACACCCTAGGGGTGCCATCGACGACCTCCAGAGCCCTGAGCTCCTCAGATTGCCCTCTCAATCCCGGGAACCCGCCAGCAAGTTGAACGTAGTTTTTGCTTTTCGGCCCCGAATAGTACATTTGGCTAGTTTAAAGGAAACATGAGCGACAGCACCCCATCTGTGTGCTGTTTTCTGCGCGTCTATTCCGACGTGCTGGGAGGATTGTACATGCCCATGTCTCTGTGTAGAGGTTGGGGTGGAGGATCGTTTAGTTTCTGAGGGGTCCAGAGAAAGGGGAGCTGTTTGCGTGAGTGTGTATATGTCCGTCTGTGTATGTGCGCGCACAAATGCGTGAAGGAAGAGAGTGCCCTCGTGAACGCGGACGCGGACGATTTGCCCGTGCGCGTGTGCCCCGAGTGCGTGTGCTTGTGTCCAAACGTACGCTCACGCTCCAACCTGCGTGCATCTAGCCTTGCTTTCGTCTTATCTACTCTTCCTCCTCCCACATTCATCCATCCATCCATTCATCCATCTCTGTCTCCCCAGACTTCAGCCCATACATCCCTGTGCAAACTATCATTTTCCCTGTTCCGAAGGAGGGAGCCAAAAACCAACTTAGTTAGCCTCGCTTGGGCAGCCGGTACCCAGAGCTCTCCAGACGGAGGCTCCGAGAGAGAGTCGAACACCTGCCCACAGACACGGCTTGGAAGGAAAGGAGCGCTCTCTTGTCCTCTCCGATCTTCCCCTGCGTCCTACGCGCCTGGAGTTGCCACCCCAGCCGCCGTGGCCGCCTCGCCTCGGTCTCTAGGGTCATCCCCCTGAACGGAATTCTGGATCTCGGGTTTTCCTGGCTACTTTGCGCACTTGTTCGGACGTCCTCTAAGATTACTCTCACATCGCAGACGTAGAGACTGTTTTCTTTATTTTTACCTTTTACCCCCTGGCTTTTTCTGTTGGAAGCCAAACTTGGGAGCCTTACACAAAAAGGCGCTGGTGGAAACGTGGGCTGATGTTGAATGAAAGGGGAGGGGGTTTATACCCCTCTCCAACCCCTCCTTCTCTTAAAAATTAATTCATTTTGTTGCTTTTTATTCCCATCACGTTTCCTTTTCTCCCTTTTACCCTCCCTTTCTACTCCCTCCCTTTTTTTGTAAATTGGGTCTTATTGTTCCCTTTGTGTTCCTAATCCACCTTACATAAATCCAAATGGATGTAGCGGGCTTTTCTCTAGGGACAGAGAAGAGAGAGTGAGGAGGGGGGGGGGCTCAACTCCCGGCGGGAGCAACCCAGGGAAGGCTCTACATTTTAAAATAATTAACACACCCCAGGATTTCAGGCTCCTCAAGAAAACCAGGGAAAGTGATTTTAACGCCCTTAGTTTGTGAATGAAATGAGAGGGGAAATGGGTAGAATTCAGGAACCTGGGGGTGAAAGTGAGTTGGGGTGCGCATGAGGAAGGATGGAGGCTTTCCATTCCCACCCCTCCCCCAGCCTGAAGAGCCTGTCTCACTGATCAAATTAATAACCCAGTGGTTCCTTTGAGATGGGCCTTTCGACCCCCAGGCCTGCAGATAGCGGTGGGAAAGGGAATGTGGAGAGATTTCGAATTCTTTGCGTCTTTCAATGTCATCGGTACCTAGCTCTATTCCAGCCTAAGCCGGGTATGGCAGCTCTGTGTGCACTCTCTCCCTCCCCCCTAAGCTTTGGGGCACACTCGTTAGGTGTTGTAGCACACGCACCCTATATCCATTAGGCAGCACTCCACACCTAAAATTCAAACCAGTGTTTTTCTCTGCAGTGGTAGGCTGGTCTCTGAGTGTCCTCTAAAAGACCCGGGGAAGGAGAATACTTGAGTGCATTTGCATTCGAATTCAACGTGTCTGGCATTCCCTCTTCCTGAAACTTTGATATTTAAAAAGCAGGGGATACCACCTCCAGAGCCTATTTGTTTGGGGGAGGGGTGTCAGGGGAGAGAGAGTTTTTTCCTTGACCCTTTGGATACTCTCTGGTAGAATTCACTTATGGCTCTGTCACCATGATGAGGAGTTATATGGTCATCTGAAACCTGCAAAAACAAATACTTCTAGTAGATACCAGACAGAGATGAATGCAAATTTTGCTCCGGAGTGTTACTGCCCTACATTGATGTATTTGTTTTTTGAATTGTACTTGAAATTCGAATTGTACTATTCACCCTTTTTGGAAAATGAATCAACTGAGACCTGGGATGGAATTTTAAATGTTATGCAAGTTAAATAAATAAGAACCTGTAGATTTAAAGAGGGGAGAAGATCAAGTGAGTAATGATTATTTACATAAGTGAGACCAAGTTTAGGTTTTGATCATAGTTGGATATGCACACCCTGAGCACATATGGAAACGCTCAGGCAAATGGTTTTTGTATTATTGCCTTTTTGCAATTGGAAATTAATCTATTTTCCTTTTTTTTTTTTTTCTTTTGCAGTTACTTTATTGGATTCCAGATCCGTTCAGGGAGAACTTGGGTGGATAGCAAGCCCTCTGGAAGGAGGGGTAAGTTCTGAGTTGCTCTCTGATGGAAAGGGTAAAAAAGGAGTGATTAGCAAGTTTCTGAAAGTCCTAATGGCTTGATTCTTGGTGATTGTGGTGAGGGGGTCAGATTTCCGATGTGGCCTATGAAGTGAATTAGGCTTTGTTGGAGAAATCCTATACTCCCTTGGATAGCGCTGTCATGGAAGAACTAGAAACCAAAAGGGCAGAAAGGGGTTTCAAAAGTAGGAGATTGGTGGAGGAATAGACTTAGATGCCTATTTAAAACTAAAATACCAAGAAGAAATACAATCCGGGGACCAAATTAGAATTTATGCCTATTACTCTGATGGGCATAGAGTCCTGACAGGGTTAATTTTAGAGCAATTGTTCTGCTTCCAGATTAGAAAAAATGAATAAATAGAAATACCAGAGAGAAAACATTTTTAATTGCCCCATATAAGTGGCGGGAGGCTCCCAACCTCGATGTTACAACCTTAAATCAGTTGCTGTTCTCTTTTACAGGCTGAGAAAAAGCCTTGTGAGCCTGAGCCAGGGGCATACTGCATGCAGAGAAGCCCGGAGCATGTAGATTGTTAGTGTTAAATGTGAAAAGTTTGAGTGTCTGGAATCTGAATCTTTAGGGGTGAGAGAGGCTAGGTTATAAAGTATGAAAGAGCATATATTCCTGTTCATTTTTTCTCAGATTTGTAGCAAGACCTCCATGGGAAGATTCACAGAATATTCCTGGGTCTATGGTCACATTCTCCCAACCCCCTTAATAGCAAGTCCAGATGACTCAGCTTTGGAAAGAAGTCAATAGGACCTGTAGGTCTGATTTCTGCCACCTTAAAATAACTGTTGTACCCTTTAAAAATTAGGCAAATCATCCAACCTTCACCTGCTTGATGGTTTTTGCCTGAGTCCATTGATTAGAAACAATGGGAAAGAAAGATTAGGAATCTCTTCCAGGAGAAAATTGTAATGCCAGCACCCCTCATGGGGCCTCACACCCAGCAATTGAATAAACAATAAATGATTGGGGCGCGGGATTCATAGGAACTATAAAAAAAAAATAGTCATAAAAATGAAGAATCAAAGCAGGGCCTGTAATCCATCTGCAGTAAGATGAAGATTGCCTTGCCTTCCTGTTTTTCTGCCTGAACTTGACTGCCTGCCCTTGGATTGGTCTTTGCTGAAAAATTCTAGTCTATCCCCAAAACCATGATTTAAAGGGGAGGGAGAGTGATTGGCAGGCCTCTGGTGGTGTAGACAAGCTGTATTCACCACTGATTGCAGGCAATTGCCCTCATCCTTTGAATGTGAAGAAAGGTACAGCGTTATCTCAGTGAGAGTCAGACTCATTGTTAATCCTATACTCTGGAAAGGTCACTGATTCAGGCTGGGCTTTCCCAGGCTCTAGCCCGCATGTTACCCCTTAGGTTAAAATGGATTAGTGCTTCTGGCAAAATTGAGGGTGGAAGTTGCCCTTACTTGTACTAATAAATTTAATGAGTCTTATTTTTCTTACTGCTTGCTCTTAGGTTTGAAGAGCAAATATATCTAGGATGATTTTGACCCTAATTTGTTTCACTAAATAGATTGTGAATTACATAAAAACTAGGAGGGACACATTTGAGAGGACAGCCTATGGTCTATCCAATTTCCAGAAAGCTTTTATTGCAATTTACTATGCTACAAATGTCCTCCTTTTTCCTTTCTTCCCTTCCTTCTTCCCCCACCTGCTTTCTTTTGCTCTCTTTTCAATTCCCTCAAAGAACTGCTGAAAGAGTACCTGGTTATGTTTAGTAGACTCAAAACTTCTTTTAATTGTCTTGAAGTCTTATTTTAAAAAAATACTAATGATACCTTACTGTATAAAACAGACCTCTCTATAAGCTGATATAGGTAGCTTTTTGTTTTCATTAAATATTAGATGTATGGCATTTAAGTATTATTAAAAGTTAGAAGTGAAATTCTACTAGTATACAAGAGAATTAGTCATTCCAAAAGACATAGCCATCATTGAGAAATTATGTCAAATTATGACATTTAAGTAAGCTCTAGATTTTATCACTGAAGGAGACTTTTTAGGTTTAGAGTACTGGATGAACTGGATATGTACCAACTAGGGATTGATTGTTAAAAGTTCCTTCTAGTTAGGGTAAAAAATACTGAGTCTTCAACTATTCAAAAATACTGAGAAATGCAACCATATTTACTATCTTGCCAGGACCACTGAAACCAAAATGATAGGAATTTATTTTCCCCTTTAAATAGTAGTGATGGTGCCCCCCCCAAAAAAAAAAAAATTAATTGACCTTTTTTTTAGTAATAGAGAACAAAGTCTAAAATCTCTACTTGTAGTTATAACATTTCACATCCTTGCTAGAAACTTAGGATAGTTGTCTGATAATGACATTTGGTTGTTGCTACTTGTGTTATTTTTAAAAAGAAATCTGATTTGATAATACCACTAAGTAAGATATGAGACTGAGTCAGAGACAAGTCATTGTCCATCAGAACAACTATGCAGAACAGGAGAATAACGGAAAGTGATGGGTCCTGATGGCAAAGGAAACAAAAAAACAAAAACAAAACTGATTTCTTAGCAGTGTTCACTTAAACGAGTATATTGAGGTGCTCATGCTGATTGTAAAATACAAAACTAAGGGAAGGCATGTCACTGTTCTGGTGAACTAATCAATGTGGTTAGACAATTAAGCTCAAGTTGGAAAGTTCACACTAGACCTGAATTATCCTCTATGTACTCTATGACAATACTTCTGTGTTCACTGAGAAATGGGTCCTTCCATTTTCCCTTTGTTCTGAGATGAGAAACATGCTGAGCAGGTCTTTTGGAAGATGCAGGATCTTCTTTTGGATTTACATGAATTTCCCCAAACAAGGAAGTTACTGGTGATGTATTGCTTACCAGATAAAAAGCAATTTTAATCACCACCCCCACTCCCAGTTCCAACTTTCATAATGGCAGCAAGATGAAAGGAATACAGAATTTTATGGATTATGGCCCTTTCCATAGCAACATTTCCATCCATTAATAGTTTTCCAATGCACAGATGGGAAACCTGTTAAAAGGTACATTATGGTTGTGTGCACTTCACTGGATTGAATGGAGCTTTAAGTGGAACTATTGCAGAATACAAATTTTTAAACTATCTTTTTTTTCTTCTAATTACATTCATGTGTTAGGTACTTAAGCTGATTTATGCCAGATCTATATTAATGCATTGCTGTGGATGTTAATGAGGAACTGGAGACTTCCTACCAACTTAGTAGAAGTCAGAGTATAGGAGCCCAAACTGTCGTCTTGCTTTTAGAATTACTTTTTAAAGCTATGGTGAAAGTGAAATTGCCACTTTAGTTAGTCTGAACTCAGATTGTCCACCGTTGAAGAATCCTTGTGTGAGGAAGCAGAAGGCAAAGGAAACACTGGAGTCCTCCTTTACTTTCCTTGGGCTTCTCATCATGAATGCCACTTACAGTTTTATTTTCAATGTCCGCTGAGGATTTAGAAGCAAAACACGTCTTCACTCTAGTTTCCTTATGGGTCTCATTCAAAATAAGAACACGTGCAAACTTTTGAACTGAAAGCATGGTCTTGAAAAGTTTTTTGTTAGTGGAACACTGTATTTTTGAGAAATGCAACCGTATTTACTGTCTTGCCAGGATCACCGAAACCAAAATGATGGGAATTTATTTTCCCCTTTAAATACTAGTGATGGTGTCCAAAAAAAAATCATTTGATTTTTTTTTTTTTTTTTTTTTTAGGTATTAGAGAGCAAAGTTCTGACAGGAGCAACACTAATTAACTGATAATTGTCTCCCTTTGGCAAGCTTTACTCTTCCTGCCCTTAATTTGCCTGTCTCTGTTTCTGTGGTTGGAATAATACACTTACTAGTTTGGGTTGTTGTTTTCTTTTTTGTTTGTTTGTTTTTCTTTCTTTTTTTTTTTTTTTTTAAGTTTATGAGCAAATTTGAACTGTTACCACTTGAAATTGTAGCTATTGTAATAGAGGAATGTGAGTTTGTTAGACCACCACAAGGAGCTGCTGAGAACCCACAAGTAGTACATCCACCATTGCTTCTGGATTTTAGGCAAAAATGCAAAACAATAATTAAAAAAAGAAAAGGGTTGATCTCCCAAGAGATGCTTTATTTATGAGGACTGGAACTCAGTAGTTTTCTAAATTATTGAAACAAAAATGATCCATGTCCTATGGGAATAAAATAGAATTAGCAAATCCCTGTTTGAGGAGACTTTGTAACTCATGCATTCCCTCTGGGTCTTTGCAGTGGGAGGAAGTGAGTATCATGGATGAAAAAAATACACCCATCCGGACCTACCAGGTGTGCAACGTGATGGAGCCCAGCCAGAACAACTGGCTGCGAACTGACTGGATCACGCGAGAAGGGGCTCAGAGGGTGTACATCGAGATCAAGTTCACCCTGAGGGACTGCAACAGTCTCCCGGGCGTCATGGGGACTTGCAAGGAGACCTTTAATCTGTACTACTATGAGTCAGACAACGATAAGGAGCGTTTCATCAGGGAGAGCCAATTTGCCAAGATTGACACCATCGCTGCGGATGAGAGCTTCACCCAAGTGGACATAGGTGACAGAATCATGAAGCTGAACACCGAGATCCGGGATGTAGGACCACTGAGCAAAAAGGGGTTTTACCTGGCTTTTCAGGACGTGGGGGCCTGCATTGCTCTGGTGTCCGTCCGAGTGTTCTATAAGAAGTGTCCACTCACAGTTCGCAACCTGGCACAGTTTCCAGACACCATCACAGGGGCTGATACCTCTTCCCTGGTGGAAGTTCGAGGCTCCTGTGTCAACAACTCAGAAGAGAAGGATGTGCCAAAAATGTACTGTGGGGCAGATGGTGAATGGCTGGTACCCATTGGCAACTGCCTGTGTAATGCTGGGCACGAAGAGCAAAATGGAGAATGCCAAGGTAAGAAGAGCCATATTGTACTTTTCATTAGGGCTTAGTGCACATAATTAAATCTGAGATGAGACTAAATGGAGTAAAGCCAGTAATTAGCAGCCCCTGTGGGATGTGGTGGGACAGAGGGGTCTAATGAGTAAGTGCTGTAGCTCCAGGTGGCAAGGCTAAGACATCTCTAATACTGACAAAATAAATGATGCTGCTGTCATCAGCCCAAGGCCAAGCACATTTGCTAACAGGCACTTAGATCTGAACTGGCTGGGTACACCCTCTGAAATGTAAATGAACAAGCTGAAGAAGGGGGCTTGATTGATCCTCACTCAAAGAGGTGGACACATTTTTGAGACATAGTTTTCCCATCTATAGAGTTGGTCAAATGACAAAGTTGGTGAATATCTTCCATCTTAAATATATGTGCATGAATGACTCGAGTGTGGAATCAGAGATTGTGTTGTTTCAGTTCCCTGACATTCTGTAAAATCACCCTGTGTGAAGAAAGTCCATGTCTTTTTAGTCTTTCTGCCTTGTGGACTAGTGGAGAAGTGGCCCAATGAAGGGTTTCCAGTTCATTCTGTTCTACTGAACACCCATTGATAGAGTCTCTAAGTGAAATTAAATCTTGACCAAAGACCTCTTCATTTCTCTTAGGAGATTATAATAGAGTTAAGGATCTTATTTGATCAGAGGCGAGAGTAAACTGTGATTCACTTTGGTAATTACGTTTTTGGAAAAATAATGTAGTTTTCATCATGTTGATTGCTATTCACATATTACTAAGGTGATTTTTCTCACCTCAAGTTCAGTATACATGATTCAATCTTGCCTCTTTCCCTCTGTTAGAATACTGGGGATTTTGTAAAGTCTTTCACTTGGTGGCAGCTTTATATCCAAGTAAGGAATGAAAGTAATCCACGTATCTGTGGATTGTTTATATTCTATGTGGATTAAGTCTAAAAAAAATTAATTATCTTAAGCTTTTGTCTTGCTTGGTGTTTATTTTCAGTGGTTATCACTAGTCTGATACTACCCTGGCCTAGGTGGTGATGGTTACTACTAAACAGTTGCACTGTGATTTAGTCCCACCTATAGAAAAGATCCCACTAATCTTTTCTTCTGGTGATTGTGGAGCTGTAGATTGGATTGCCACATGGTTCATCTGATTTGGTGATTAAAGAGCCTGAAATAACTGACTGCCAAACAATTTGTCTGGCATTTCAACCATCTTAATGACAGGGTGGGATTAACAATGGGGCATTTCACTTGATTGACTGGGTGCCAGCCTTCACAACCTAAAGAAAATTGCATTTTTGATAATTCATCTTCATTATAAATGTAGACATTTCTCCTTTCATGGTTTATACTTTCCCAAAATGCCATTAATGGTTAGTTGTAGAAGTAGCTAACAGTGACTGTCCTTTAATTTCATTGTAAATAAAACAGAATAAAGCCTGGCTATCTTCTACCTTCAGTGTAAAAGGAAACTTGAAAATTTGCAAGTTGGAATTTTGATTTTTTTATAAAGATTGACTTCTTGCATTTTTATTTGCTTTTGACCTGGCAAAAGTGATGAGCTGTACAGAGTTGAAACTCTGAAGAATATTCTGGCATCAATATTAGAAAATATGTGAGCATATTGTTATTGGCAACGAAATTCCAGTGGTCTAGCAGGAATGGGTCAATGAAACCGCCATCATACTTTAGAGTAAAATGTTCTATTTTCCCAATTTTTTTAAGACTGGGACTTGTCCATCTTTCCATGTCAAATTTTCTTATAGAAATGTATATATTTTAAAAAACCAACATTGTCTTCCATTTCCTGTTAAAATGCTCACCCTTCTAGCATTAGCTCATCTCCCTGTAACTAATGCCATTGATTTTCAATTGTCATAGAGCCCAGTAACTCATACATTGCCACATTGTGCAACTCCTTGACATTTTTACAACCCAAATTAGAAGGAAAAGAGAAAAAGATGGAGGGCGAAGTGGATGTAAAGGCAATTGAACATTTTAGTGGTTTGCTTTATGGAAATCATCTTGGGAATCCAGTTAATCATGTGATTCATGGAAGGGGAGGGGCTCCATAGTTCAGACCCAGTCCGTTTATGAGAGAGCTGTTTCTAACAAGCCCAGATATCTAATGCAAGGGGAAGTTCGGTTAAGCCAATTTTAAGAACCTTCAGAGATTTCATACATGCTACTGAGATTTTCTTTCTCATAAAATTATTAGCTCTCTCAAAAACACACATCTTACACAAAATCTTGCAGTTCATTTACTCATTTGTTTTTATTTCTACCAAGTGAAAGTCTGTGATGAAATTGGGGAAGAAGGAAAAACTTGGAAAGACAAGGTTTTTTTAAATTCCAAAGATTAGTGAGACTTTTAAAAGATGACCCAACACCGTAAAAATCCCAGGAGTAACAAAAATGGTTGGCACTTGACATGGTTACTGGTGTAGGAGGAGCATCTGAGCATAGCAGAAAGAATGTGGGGCCAAGGAAATGCATCTGAGTTGGGTTAGTTAGCTGGATGACCTTGGGCACATTTCTTAAGCCCCCTGAACCTCAGTTTGTTCAAAATGAGATGGGAAGATCTCTCTCTAACTCACAAACTAGCTATGAGGAGTCTGTGATTGAAGATTGATAAAGTCATCTTGTAGTACATAAAACACTAAATAAGTGTGAACACAAACATTTCTTTTACCACCTGCCCTTCTCAAGGTCATAGATGTTGACTTTAAGGGTGTTGAGTTGAAATAATAAAAGTCACTCTCCAAAGTCAAGGCTAAAGATAGGAAGAATCCCTCTACCCTTTACCTAACAAAGCAAAATGACCACTTTCGCATTTCATATTGAAAGTGATATTTAGAGAGTATTTCTCCCTCTCTCTGTGGCTATCCCTCCCTCTCTCTCCTCTGTAAGAAAAGGAACTTTCCTTTGAAAGAGTGACAAGTGATTTGGGGGAGGGACAAGAAAGGGAATGTAAAGGCAGCTTAAGGAGGGATATAAAGGAGACCAGGCCAGGTCTTTAGAACTCTGGCAGCAGGTTCCTCCCCATTGTCTTCTCAATGGGTCCACTGTGGCAGGACAAATAGAAGAACAGGTGAAAGGTCACCTACTTCCTCATCCATCTTCCTTGGGGTCTGGGAGGTCAGAGTGAAGATTGATTAAGATCTAAAATGTTTGACAAAGGATCCTTGGGTAAAAATGGCCAGGGCGGGTGGGGAGCCTGGGGTGTGCTGTTGTTGGAATCTAACCCTGGTCATCCACTGGAGTCATCAAGGGACCCTGGGGACAGAACTACACTTCCTCTTGCAGTTCCTATGCCCAGCAGTACATGCTAATGTGAAGAAGGATGAAGGGGTGTCAAGAGCGGCAGGGAGATGCAGGGCCTGCCCCCGCAGCAGCTGCAAGTTCATTGTGCTCCTGAAGAGCATTTTCTGAAATGATTTGGTTTGGTTTCAGAGGGCAACAAAGAGTTTTAGCCACTTGTCTGTCCTCTCAAGGAGATTGTGTGACTGCACTTAGCACTTACATAGTGATTGGGTGCAGAGGAAACTTAACTGTGCTGGTCCAGTTACCAGGGCCCATCCCACTGTCAAAGCAAAGAAACCAAATCCAACTCCAGTGTCTTCCTCTCATTTGCCCCCAGTTAGGAAATGTGCCAGATGTTTAGGGGGTCACTTTCAATACCTTAGAAACAGTAAGCAGAAGGAAAAGAGGAAAAGATTCTTCAGTAACTTATCTCTTGCTTAATTAAAATGCCAAAAAATTAAATGAGAGGCCCCTATTTACTCTTTGGAAATATCAATAAGCAATGTTTTCAGTGGGTGGGTGTACACAAAAATAATGCTAGTAAAAAGAAGGCATGCTTATACAGTCACTCTTAAGGCCGAAGAATCATACTTGTGACAAAATTAAGTTACACAAGAATCGAAACTTGCTAAAATATACAATTTTACTGGGCTAGGGGTGTAGCTCAATGGTAGAATGTTTGCCTAGCATGTGCAAGACCCTGGGTTTAATCCCCAGCAACGTAAAATGCTTATATAATTTTACTATATAATTGAGGCATTACCTTGAACCTGTATTATCTATTACATGTACAATGTGTTCATATCGGCAAAAGGTGTCTTATTAAAAGTGCTTTGAAGAAAGAACAAGATTGAAATGATTTGATTACTTTAAAATAAAAATAGTTTAAATATATGCTCTGAAAAGAGAGAATTGTAGCTGTGTCCAATAATAATAATAATAATAATAATAATAATAATGATAATAATAATAATAATTACTTTGTTTTTTCTAACATACTATAGAAGAACCACAGGAGAAAAAAAAAAACAACAGAAAGGAGGCATTTAAAACATAATTCAGAGAGACGCTGTTTCATATCCCTTCCACTTTTGAAATTTTTCTTTTACCTTTGAATCCCGTCTTTAAGAATCAATTGCTCAAATCACAGGGCTGCTTTTATCTCTGGCTTTGAAGCATGACTGTGATCACTGGAAAACGTCATTCTTTATCTATGAGAAGAGCAGGGCTTAATTATTGTCCTTCTTCTATTATCCTTTTTTATTTTTTCCTTCTTTGTGTGACCAGATTTCTTTTGTGAGTGAGAATCATGAGATGGTCTCTATTTGGGGTTCTCTAAAGCATCACGTAAAATCATCTCAGGGATTTTTGCAATATGGCATTTAAGATTTGATGACTTATTTTAGTCTAACTGAGCTTCCTTGTGCCTTTCAAAACTGAATTGAGACATAATCATTCATTTAACACTTGAGCGTTTAGGAAAAATACTGTCTAAATGGTTTTTCAGTTGCCACAGCAGAACAGAGGTGGCCCTGATATAAGCCTGACCACTTATTTTTTTTTTTTTTGGGGGGGGGGGCATTTAATTGATGAATTTGATATTACAGAAGTATTGTATGCATGTCAGAAGATTTTTTCAGTGCAGAGTTGTATAAAGTAGAAAGCGAAGCTTCCATTTCCTACACAAACTCTCA